GGGAGCCCCCGTCAACGCCATGTCTTGGCTGCGGGCCAGCACTGTTTTGTTTTCATTATCACACGCTACTTTGCAATTTGCATAAATACAGGGTTATTTTTTATCGTGTCGCCCAAAAGATAGAGCAGGGGGAAAAAATAGACTCTTTGTTGTGTGCAAGAGGGGCTTGCTGCCTACTCATCGAGGCTAAGGATTTGCCTCTTGGGCAGAGCTTTGGGGCATATAGTGAGGGCTCCAGAAGAAATACGGGCAAAGGAGAGATAATAACATGAGGGGAAAGAATGGGGAGGGGGATGTAGGATTTAATGAGAACCTCAGGAAACTCAGCTTGGTAAAACCAAATATTAAAGACCTGTTCTCCTCTGCAGAGAGTGATGAAGGCTTAGGAGAACAGGGTGGAGGGGGCTGCCCCGTCTCTCCTTAGATACCTTGGCTTCCTTCTGCTGGAATGAACCACTGGTACGGGGGCAGCCATCACAGTAAACATGTGTGCGCTTTATTTTGACTCCCATGTAAAACACGGGAAGACCAAGGATAGACCATGAGTTCCCTCTCGGCTCTGATGGTTTTCCCCAAAGTGAGAGGCTTCATACCCAGTCTGTCTCCTTCCCTTCCTAACAGATCGAGCCCTTCTGCTCTCCAAATTGCACCTGTCCAGTAAAGTGTGTGTGTGTGCCCCCCCCTCCTCAACCTCAGCAAAGCTGGCACAGAGCATGATGGCTCAATGATGAGCTGGGATGGCTCCATCCTGCATGTACTTCTTAGCCATGGAGACATGGGCTCAGACTCCCAAAGTCATGTCCCAAATGGGTGTCGGGCACTCACGTGATTCTGGAAGTAGACCTTCAATTTAGAGAAACCGCCCGACTCTCTCAGCAATTAGCGGGTGGGCACCTTCCCACAGTGGCCTCTGCTCCTTCTAACTCTCCTACTCACTGTGAATTTGCAGTTTGGCAATAAAAAAAAAAATCTTTGAAATCAGTCTGCCCTTTCTCCCCTGGCCCTATCTCCTCCTGGGCTGGTGACAAAGGGGATGTGTCATTGAGATCGTCTCGCTGTCAGGAGTAAGACCTCTACATGAGGATTCAATTCCAGCACCCCTGTCCTGAAAGGCGCTGTCCACTTTATCAGCCGCCAGCAGCACCTCAGCAGCGGCGGCGGCAGCAAACATGGCTTTTTCTTTTTTTTAATTCCCTTTCTGTCTTCTGATTAGCTCTGGCAATCCAATTAGCAGAGGCATTTATATCACACAGTCTGAGGTTCCCCTACACATCATGGCAGCTCCAACCCACTCATAAATCCCACCGATACTACATCTTCCTGTGACATGGATTAATTACAACACCAGACCCTCCTAAGTAGGTCTACCAGTACAAGTACATAAGAATATTAGAATTAAAGAAGGGGCCAAAAGGAATGTCTTTTGTCTGTTATCAAGAATGCACCATGGCTGCCAGGGAAGTCAGCATCATTCTCCATCTTCGCACCAGGGCATTGTTCAAGCAGATACTGAAGAGCCCAAGCGGGCCTGAATAGTGCATCCTGGGGGATTCAGGAGTGATCTAATCATGGCACACCCATGTGTTTGTTTGTTTTTTCATATCTTTGGGCCCTTTATTGTGAAAGTTCAGAGCTCTTAGTGGCTCATTTCCTACTTTGGTCCATACGCCACCCAAACAGTTAAACTGTTTTAAAACCCTTCACAAAGAGAGATGTCTTTATCTTCATTGATATTCCACTACAGTCAGGCACAATCATGATATTGTGGTAACTTTGCATCTATCTACAATTTCATTCCGGATTTACCCTTACATTCATCAACCTCTAGCATCTTTCTATCCATTCATCTAGCTATATTCATTTAGATATCAACTATTTATTCTGCTTCCCGGTCATCTATTCATCCATGTGCATCTCACTATCCATTTTCTAACCATGTATTGATCTATGAATTTCTTTCTATTATCTGTCATCTACTTGTCTATCCATTTGTGTCTCTCTTAATTCATTCATCTGCATTATCCATCTATCTGTTTTTCTATCTATTCATTAATCCATTCAATCATCTACGCTGGCGTGTTGGTGACCAATCCCTTTTTATTCTGTGCCTTTTGTTAGCTATGATCTTAACAGGATCCCAGATTCACATTTCCAATCACTTTTAAGGTAAAAAAAAAATGGCCATTTTCCAAATGAAGTCTATAAATGCTATATGCTTTGCTGTCCATTCTTGAGTTTAAAGAATGAACTAAAGAAATAAATCAGCAAAATCACATGGTTTTAAGTGAGTTAAAATTACAAGGAAAATATTTTATCCTAAATTCCTGGAGCAATTTCCTTGCTTAATAAAATAGGCATTTCTGTTCAACTTAAACCATGCCTCTAGGAGAGGTAGATTTTAGATAATGTTTACAACATAAATTTTATTCACTCTGTTATATTTACCACTGTGCATCCTTCATGCAAATGATCCAAATCAACCAGAAATAACTTGAGATTACTTTTATCATAAAGCAAAACAGATATTAACCCTAATGTGGTAGGGTAGTTGTGTTAGTGTAGTTGTGTGCATTTAGATGTCTTTCTTCTCTAGAGAGGGTCTGAGACCGTGTGTGTGTGTGTGTGTGTGTGTGTGTGTGTGTGTGTGTGTGTGTGTGTATAATGTATATGTATGTTCTTATGTGTTCTGGGAACAAACTAAGGACAAAAAATTGGATTTTTTTTCTCATTACTTGTATTGAAAAATGTATTTAAGTCTAAGCTGAAATTTAGACTTCGGTACTCTCTTAGAACCCTAGTTTTAGCTCCAAAGGAAATAGGATCATAGGGAGAAGAATAAGTGAGAGTCATTCCACCAAAGACAGGAACTCCACCTTGGTGCTCTGAGTGATGAAGGCTGAGCAGTGTGGCTGTGGCTTCTCAGAGTTCGCCAGATATTGCTTCCCAAGTAGTATCCCAGGTGAGAATCCTACCTAAGCAGCAGATCTCAACTCTGCCAATATTCATCATTGATAATAATATTATGGTAACATAAAGGCAGCATTCCCAAGTAGGAAATCACTGGCATTTTTTTTCTGATTTTTGTTTGACTGAAAAAGAAGTATGTTTCTGGGCCTGGTTGTAGCTGGGGAGCTTCTCTCCAGGTCCCACCAAGTCCCTGCAGTCCCACAACCTACATATAAAATAATCACTCAGATGCTTGTATTACTTATAAACTGTATGGCCATGGCAGGCTTCTTATTATCTAGTTCTTATACCTTAAATTAACCCATTTCTATTCATCTGTAAGTTGCCACGTGGCTCATGGCTTACCAGTACCTTACATCTCTCTTGTAATGGCAGTGGCTGGCAGTGTCTCTCTGCTTCAGTCTTCCACTTCCCCCAATTCTCTTCTCTTTGTCCTGCCTATACTTCCTGCCTGGCTACTGGCCAATCAGTGTTTTATTTATTATGCAATCAGAGCAACACACGTAACATACAGAACATCCTTATAAAAATGGGTTAATTTAAGATATAAAAACAGTTAACAAAAAGCCTAAGCCATTAGGCCAAACAGTTTAAATAATATAAGCGTCTGTATGTTTATTTTGTAAGTAGGCTGTCAGACTGCCAGGGTTTGGCAGGACCCGGAAAAAAAAACTCTAGCTACTAATGGTGCCCAACGTGTTGGCAAGAGTTTCCACCTAAAACCTAACAAAAAAGATTCTAAAACAAAGCTAAAACATTGGGCGCCATTTGTAGTTGGAGTTTGCTCTCCGGGTTCCGCCAAGCCCCGGCAGTCTGACAGCCCACTTATAAAATAAACACACAGACGCTTATATTATTTACAAACTGTATGGCCATGGCAGGCTTTTTGTTAACTGTTCTTATACCTTAAATTAACCCATTTTTATTAATCTACAAGTTGCCACGTGGTTTACCGGTATCTTACATCTCACTTGTCATGGCGGCAGCTAGCAGCATCTCTCTGTCCCAGCCTTCCTATTCCCAGAATTTTCTTCTTTGCTTGCCCCGCCTCTACTTTCTGCCTGGCTACTGGCCAATCAGCATTTTATTTATACAGAGCGATATCCACAGCACCTGGTGGTCACCAGCTCTCCCTTGTCTTCACCACCAGAGTGAGCGCCTCAGCACTGCCCAGGGTTATGTGTTGGCCCACTCCAACATCCACCCCATCTGTGATCTGCTAGAGCATGGGGGGGGGGGTGTCAGTCCTGTGGACCCAGAGCTGCAGGATCTCTAGCAACAGGATGACCAGGAAGAGCCCCAGTGAGGGCCCAGCATCCATGGTGCAGCAGAGACCAGGGGCCTCAAACCAGACCAGTGACTCTTTTTGATAAATGCCTGCATGTAAAAATGTATGGATAAAGGGTTTACTGCGTGACTCGCTGTGTCACACTGCAGCTTCCATGACAAGATTTTTCCTTTCTTCCTTTTTTCCCTTTTTCTCTTAATTTTGTTTTATTTTTGAGGGGGGGAGATAGGTGGAATCTGGAGGCATGGTATGAAAGACTCGAGTAAATAAAAAGAAAGTTTAAAAAAAGAAGTGTGGTTGGCCTTCTATGTGCAAGGGTTCACGTCCATGAATTCAGCCAAGTACTGTTCAAAATCATCTTTTAAACTGTCTATACTGAGTAAATGCAGACTCCGTTGTCGTTCCCTAAGCAATGTGTTGTTATTTGCATAACATTTACATTGTACCCAGCATTGTAGACTATCTAGAGATGGTTTAAAATACACAGGAGAATATCACTGAATTGGGTGTAATAAGTCACCTAGAAAGATTAGAACATAGGAGACTATACAAAGAGTACATGTAAATAACTTCACTGTTTCCTATGACTCTTTAACGTCCTTAGACTAGGGTATCCCAGAAGGTCCTGATATCAATCCCTGACAGATTCTGAAAGATGACTATATATTGAGGTGAAGACCATGAAAACCAAGACAGATCATTGTGAAGCCGAGGGACAGGGAAAGACCCCAGCCGTGATACTCACTCTGCTCCCATAAAAGCCAAGAAGACAGAAATCACCTGGTTCTTTATGCTTGGGTTGTTTCCATCCACCTTATCACCATGGTTTCCCAGATTCTATTATACTCTGGAGTGAGATGACGTAATCTTGTGTTCTAATCCTGGGTTGACTTGCCATGCTAAGCAGCTGACCTCTCTCGTCATTACAGTCAGCTCAATGTCTTGGGCTCATTTACAGGGGCCCAGAAACGTGCTTTGATTTCTTATTTTTTGAAGAATTTTATTTTTATTTTTAATGATGTGTATGTGGGGTGGAGGTGGGATGTGGATATGAATGCAGACACCTATAGAGACCACAGATGATCCCACTGGAGCTGGAGTTACAGATGGTTTTGAGCTGCCCAGTGTGGATGTGGAGAACTAAACTCAGGTCTGAACAAGAGCAGCAAGCTCTTAACTGCTGAGCCACCTCTCTGGCCTCTTTGTTTCTTTTAAAATCATTCAAAAAACTAACTTTGGGGTCAAGAATATTGTGTTGATGAGTAGTAATAGCATCGCTTACACTCAAATCATCCGTATACTAACACAGTTTTCAAATGCTGTGTCTTTCTGAGGGAGGAATATTCCTATAATCTCCTGACACTGGGCCCAAGACAGTCACATAGAAAGTAGCCCCCCTGCATAATTATAACTTGTTACTCTCAGAAAAGTCTAGAAGGTAAAGATCTTTTGGGAGCCAGACTACCTATGTTCAAAGCTTGATGCCACTGCCTGTTGTTGTCATGGAATTATTGGATATGGTGAATTATTGGATATGGTGAATTATTGGATATGGTGAATTATTGGATATGGTGGCCCACTTCTATAATCCCAGCACTTGGGAGGCTGAAGTAGGAGGACTGCCATGAGTTCAAGGCCAGCCTAGGCAAGAGTGAGACATTATTTCAAAACTCAAATTCACTCAGTTTCCCCCTTTTCTTTAGCTGTAACTGGAAGTGATAACAGTAACTACTGTGGTCCGGATATGAAATAATTCCCAAAACACTTGTCTATTGATGCCTTGGTCCCCAGATGATGGATCTAATCATTCCAGGGCTCTGACCCAATCAATGTATTGACCCATTTATAGATCCACAATACAATGGCATAAGGAGAGATGAGAGGAAAAGGGACCCATTTGGAGGAAGTAGGCCACTGGGGGCATCACTTTGAAGAGAATCTCACCTCTGTCCACTTCCTGCATCTCACTGTCTGCTTCCTGGCCACCATGAATGGGCAGCCCCGCTCCCAGTCACGATGGTCCCCTCCTGCCTTCCTTGGGCTCAAAACAATGAAGTCAGCCAATCACGGACTTAAGTCATGAGTCCAAAGAAACCTTTCTTCCCTGAAGCTGCTTCTCTGGTTGTTTGTCAGTCACGAAAGCACACCAGTGCAGCAGCTAATGCACAGGAATGCTGTGGCACCAATGAAGCAGCTAGTGCACAGGAATGTTGTGGTACCAGTGCAGCAGCTAGTGCACAGGAATGTTGTGGCAGGTAAAGGAGATCATATGTGGGAGATGCCTGGAATCCAGTCTACATAGAGCGAGAGTGTGATAAAACTCCTTACAGCAATTGTTGTTCTTGCTTAAGCTTTGACATCTTGGCTACAAATGCCTCCTTATTTATGTTTTAGCAGCTACGGCTAAATCAATTTTCACTTTAAAAAATTAGACGATCTTCTTGACATAAGGAAGAGAATAAGAAGGCGGTAATTGGACTTTCCTCTCTCCTCTGGAAATCAGAACATTTTCTCTCAGAGAAGTGCTAAATTCTGTGCTCTCTACCTGGAGCGAGGTCTTAATTCCATATTATAAAATTCCTTTAATAAATCAGCGCCACCTCTCCTGATCGCAGGTTTGATCCCTTCCGAACTTAAAACAATCCTGCAAAAAACCTTATTAAGAACCACAGGTTGAAAAGAATATTGTCAAAACTTTCTCTCTCCTTTCCTCTCTTCACTTTATTATCTCTTCATTTTTTTTGTCATTTAACTCCAATTATGAGATGCTAAGTGCTTTTGGAACCTCCATTGTTAATATCTTCTTACAGCACTATTAACGTAAATCAAGTTTAATAGTGTCCCAGCAACTGTAAAAGCAATCAAAAATTCAGTACTCACGAATCATTCTGTAATTTCAGCATAAAATGTTAATAGAAATAATATCTAATACCATAAAATATCAGTAAATTCAACTTTAAATATAGGTGATGAATCTCTTCACTATCCTATAGTATGCGTGGAATATTCTAGTATGAAGTCCTTAATTGGCCAAGCCATATCTCAGTCATGTTCAGGCTGTCAGAGTCTCCTCCTTTGCTTCACCCTTGCTAGCCAATCCCAGCAGAATGAGTAGTTATTAGAGGCATTTCTTCATGTTATCTGACTATGGGGGGGGGTGGCGGGGGTCAAGATCAGTGTGGGAAGTACAGCCAACCTGAAGGAATTCAAAGTAATGCAAAGATGTCATCAGGGGCTGCAAGACCCTGTGTTGTGGAGCATCAGCAGAGATGGCCAGTATATCGGCTCTTATCTCTGGGGAGCATGGCCCTTCTGGGACAGACCCAAGCTGAAATACCTAAAGCTATGTCAGGGCTGATGGTGGGCACAACAGTCACATGGGCCCACAAGAAAGCATCTCATTCATCAATCAGTAGGTGACCAGTTTTTGAGTTTTAAAATTTGATCAAAGTAGGTTTTTTTTTTTATAAATAACTACCCTTCAAATACTTTAGCTTACAACAGCATCTATGTATTCCTTCCCCAGTCCTTTTCTTTCAGGTTCACAGCAGCTTGTAGCATGGACCACTACCATGCTACTCATTTCTGTCTGAATTCAGCTTCTTTGACGTGAGAAGGGAGCCTAAGGCATCCGGGACAGGCATCAGAGTCAGTGTTGCTGTCGTGCATGCGTGTGTCTTCTTGCACTCATTCATCCCTGCCTTGTATTCAATTTGATTAACATGAATTGTTAATTGACTAACGTGAACTTCCATAAGGGATTGGGAGCTGATTCTTTAACAAGTGGGCCTACAGTGCTAAGATGCTCCAAAGCAGAGGTGATGGTCAGGGTTCAAACAGAGTGTCGCAGGCCACCCTGTGTGGGGCTTCCAAGGGAAAGGTGAGTGACAGCTCAGAGAGGGAGTAAGGAGCCTGGCCAAGTAGCTCGGGAGTGGAGCTCTGGCCTAGCATGTATGAAGACCTGGTTCCCAGTGCCAGAAAAAGAAAGAAAGAAATGAAAGAAGTGAGGGGGAAGAAAAAAGAGGGTGGAGGAAGAAGTGAGAAAGGAAGGGAATGGGAGAGAAACATAAAGAGATGGTTTAGTTGGCGCTGTGTGAAGAGCCAGATGAGAGCATGCAATGTCGGGTCAGAGCAAGAACCCAGTGCCCAGGTCCCCCTGTGCTTAGAACATACCATGCAGATCTCATTGTTAATAAGTTCTGACCTCTAGGAATCAGTATTTCAAAAACTCCTAGCTGGAGACTAGCTGTGGATCTGACCTCTAGGCATTCACTGCCGTCTTAAACCCGGCTGCATCTGTAGCCTGTGAGACTTTTCTGAAAAACAAGTGCCAGGAGCATTTTTTCTGCTGAATACAGTCATGTTTTCCATATTCAGCCTTCCTCCAAGCAGCGCCTCCTCCACACTGGGACAGACGCCCAAAGTGGGGTGCAGCCTTGGACAGAACGCTAATCAGTTTTGTAATTGTAACATACGTTTATAAATATGTGTAACTAAGCCATAGTGTCTTGGTTTTTATGGATACTACCTTTAAAGCCGAGGTTCAATCTACTTAAATAAAATTGTAAGCCCATTAAAGAAAAAACAGTGAATCACAACAGAGGGTTTTCTGGACTAGAACAAAATCAAGACGGAGGCTGGCTACCATATGATTGAAGTTCAAGACAACAGCTTAAGCTGCAGGAGATAGCTCTAAATAAGAATATTCTCGGTACTGGGGGAGATGGCTTTGTGAGTAAAGTGTATGCTATACACACGTAAGGACCTGAGTTTATATCCCAGCACTCTCATGATAGCCAGGTGTGGGGGCATGCATCTGTAACACCAGTGCTTGGGGTGAGAAGGAGCCAGGAGGGTCCCAGAGTTCGCTGGCTAGCCAGTCATGCTGAGAAGGTGAACTTTGGGCTCAGTGAGAGAACTTATCTCAAAAATAAGGTAAAGATAAATAGAGAAAATACCATCAACATGGACTTCTGATCTCTACATGCTGTGTACAGATGTGTGCACATATACATATATGCAAATACCATATATACATTTTTTTTAAGTTTCTGGGTTGAGGTTGATATTGGTAGCTTACTTCTTACCTAGCATGTAGGAGTCTCTGGGTTCAATTCCAAGAACCACACAAGCTAGGTGTGATGAGACATGCCTGCATTCCTAACACTCTGAAGTTTGGGGTCACTCTTGGCTACATTGGGAATTCGAGGCCAGCCTGGCATAGAAACTGTCTCAACAACAGCAAAAAGAAATGAATGGAGTATTCTAAATCTCATCCCTCTCAAGCCATTTGGAGCAGAAGGTCTAGAAGGTAGCCTATGTTCATGGAAAGTAGTAAGCCTGTTTTACTGTTGTGAGCTTGTCTTTGTTCATTTGCTTGAAATGGCCAGGCCTCCATAGGCTAATGGCATCCTTTCTTCCTGTAGAGGAGACACTTTTGAATTATGTTTCTGCAAATCTTTTCTTCTTTCATAGGCTACACCTAAAAGATGGTAGATGCACTTGAAAACAGCATGTCTGTCTGAGGGAACTTGGTCTGACTGAATGAGCCGAACCTGCTCTCCATAGCCCAGCTCTTAGAAGTCCCCTTGTTCAGGACATCGGTGCACCCAAAAGAAGTGGTCCTCACTGTGTGGCCAGTTTGAAAAAGAAAACTTTCCAATAATTTTAGCTGTACACCATGTGGCTAAGTCCACTTTTTAGCCAGGCTTTAGTTTTCAGAGCTGTTTTAGGTTCCTAGCAAAACTGAGCACATGACTGAGATTTTTCCATGTGCTCCTTGCCCCCCGTACATGGAGAGACATCCAT